ATTCTGTAGGTTGCCTGTTCACTTTTGCTGGAAGCACTCATTCTTACGCACTCATGCCCTGTTCTTTCTGTCTCATTAGTGGTTAACAAATCTACGTTTATCAACTGTTTTACTGTAGATAATAGCGAAAAGAAGAAGAATTTGGAAGAAGCTGAATTACATTCAACTGAGAAAGTTCCATGTATTGAATTTGATGATGATGATTATGATATAGATTTTGTTCCACCTTCTCCAGAAGAAATTTCTGCTTCTTATTCCTCTTCAAAATGCCTTAGGTAAACTAGCTAAATAATTAGCATTATTATTTGTTTCTGAGATACTTTAAATAGTTTAATTTAGTTATATAATATCATTTCTATATAAAAGTATTTTGTGTTTTGTGTAATTATTTTACATTCAAGTGAAAGTCTCAATAAAAAACCCTATTTATACATTTAATTGGTTGCATTCTAAAGATGAAGTCCCATTATGATTAATTACATGAACCTTCCAAATAATTTTATGTAGTTGATTTTTTTTTTTTTTTTTTGAGACAATCTCGCTCTGTCGCCCAGGCTGAAGTGAAGTGGTGTGATCTCGTCTCACTGCAGCCTCAACCTCCTGGGTTCGAGTGATTCTTGTGCCTCAGCCTCCCAAGTAGCTGGAGCTACAGACACACGCCACCATGCCTGGCTGATTTTTCGTATTTTCAGTAAAGACGAGGTTTTGCCATGTTGCCTAGGCTGGTCTTGAACCCCTGAGCTCAGGCAATCCTCCCGCATTGACCTCCCAAAGTGCTAGGATTACAGACATAAGCCACCTTGCCTGGCCTTATATAGTTGATTTTGACATAAGGAATATATTTCTGAAAATATTATATTTCCAAACCTGACCTGAAATGACACAAAGCTAACCCATTATATGGGAAGCGAACTGGGACATTAGTACTTTTAAAAAAAATCCTACAGGATAGAATTGGCCATTGTATTTGTTATTCACTCAATTTTAGCAAATTGGTGACATGATGATTGTTAATTGGTAGTATTACGAGAAAAATAGATACTCCATATGACTCATCAATAGCTTAAATTGCTAAGTGTCAATGTTACCTTCATCCTCATCCCAGTCTCACTCTCAGACCAGTTGAGTGGTAGAGTATAATATATACTAAACTGAGCAAAAGTTTGTATGGGGTCTCAATTCTAAACCAGCATTCTCATTTACTAGGTGGAACAGCTGAGGCCCAGGGAGGAGCAAGGAATTGCCCAGGATGATAAAATGAATGAGAGATGAACTCAGATGCAGTGTAGTGCTTTCCCGGTGTCATACTGATTCCTTGTTGAATGCCTGGCTTTTTTCTTTACTTATTAAAAATATGTATTACACAAATAATATAATCATTTTAACAAGTATTCTAAATAAGAAAGAAGGAGCACTGCTGGGTGTGGTGGTGTGGTAGTGGCCTGTAGTCCCAGCTACTCAGGAGGCTGAGGCAGGAGGATCCCTTAAGCCGAGGAGTTCAAGGCTATAGCATGCTGTGATTACGCCTATGAATAACCATTGCACCCCAGCCTGGGCAACATAGAAAGACCCTCATCTCTAAAAAATTAAGAAGAGAGAGACAGAAGGAATACTAGTAGTCCCACAATTCTGACTATTTTCTTTATCCATCTTCAGTTTTGATCCTTTTCTTTTTTTCTTTTTTTTTTTTTTTTTTTTTTTGAGACGGAGTCTCGCTCTGTCGCCCAGGCTGGGGTGCAGTGGCATGATCTCCACTCACTGCAAGCTCGCCTCCCGGGTTCAGGCCATTCTCCTGCCTCAGCCTCCCGAGTAGCTGGGACTACAGGCGCCCGCCACCACGCCCAGCCAATTTTTATGTATTTTTAGCAGAGACGGGGTTTCACCGTGTTAGCTAGGATGGTCTCGATCTCCTAACCTCATGATCCGCCCACCTCGGCCTCCCAAAGTGCTGGGATTACAGGCGTGAGCTACCACGCCCAGCCAGTTTTGATCGTTTTCTACATGTGTGTTTGATTTCTGCATTGTTGTAATCAACATGTAATTATAATTTTATATTCTGCTTTATTTCTCTTAGCATTATTTCTAAATTATTTTCCAATTGCTAATATTTAATTCCTTTTAGTGGCTACATAATTTATCAAATTGTCATACCATAAATAAATTTACCTAGAGTCTTTTTTTGTTGTTGTTGTTTTTTTTTTTTTTGAGACGGAGTCTCACTGTGCTCCCAGGCTGGAGTGCAGTGGCGTGATCTCGGCTCACTGCAAGCTCCGCCTCCCGGGTTCACGCCATTCTCCCGCCTC